GGGTCCAGAGGCTGCCAGTGACGGGAGCCGTCTGGAATGCGGAAGACGGTATTTAGGATGGGAAATGGCGTCCTGTGCATGGCTGCAGCAATAGGAATCCGTTGGCGTTATATTGTACTACATTGTTTTGATTTAGAACTGTCTCCCAGGCGGCGTGTTGTGCCTAAGCAGGTAGCCAAACCGTTGGGGATAGGCAGTTTGGGCGCTCTTGGCAGTGGACGAATGCATTAACGATTGTGGCGAATTTACACACACGGAGAGAAAGCTTTGTGTTCCTGGGGTGATGGTCGATTGTCTGTGGGAGACAGGACAATTGTCTAGTGAAGTTTTATAGCTCCTCTTTTAAACGTGTTTCAGGCGTTTCCTGCATCTACTTCACTCGGTCGTATATTTTCAGGGTTGAATCACTCTGACAGTCATGATGTCCACCTTATATTGAGCAATCAGAACGGTCTGTTTCTCTGATCGACTGGCCACTGAGTTTTCCAAAAGATAGCGTAAATTTCAGGCTACCAGTGTGACCAACGTCACTCTGTAAGAAGCTGAACGAGAAACGTGTCTGGTTGCATTTCGGCTGCGTGCAGGGTCATTCAGTAGTCGCTGTTAGTTGTTCAGACGGTGCAAACCAATATTTGTTTACGGAACCTTTCTGCTTCCTCCACTCATGAAGAGGTAAGCGGTTTTTCGTTGACTGTGACTACTCAGACGGCCCAGGCGGATGCGGAATTGCGCTATGACTCATGGCTGGTGATGATAATGACAATTTGCAAACACAATTGACAGTTACTGGTTAATGCTCTTTTCTAACTCCTGAGCGTCGGGATTCGCAAAATAAGCAAGCACTGTACACGGTCTTGTTACGCGGGGACAATTGGACCGGGCACTAAGGAAGAAAGCGTTCTTACATCATCCAAAACAGTAATTACTACAGCTCGATATAATGATAAGCGCATAACGACCCCTATGACTGTAGTCAGGAATTTTGACGCTAGTATGACTCGACAGTGTGCGGCTAGCATTACCGTCTGGATGGTATTATAATAAGCGAAGTCAATAGTATGCGACTTGCAAATGGAAAGGAGACCTCTGTGTTGTACAAGCCCAGTAAATTTAGTCGAATGTAGGTACAGATTTCATGGCGTAGACAACTAATGACATCGACTGAAGGATAATAACAACGGAAGAAAAGATAGTAAATGAGCAGATGCGGGCCAAATATGAGTTAAATGTAGACACCCAAAAAGACCGATT